TGTTCAGTCAATGGTTATGTAACAAAATTGTTAAGAGATACTGCCAAATAGCTCTGCTGAAAGATTTTTAATAATTTACTCTTCTACCAACAGTATTCGAGAGGGTACAACCTTTTGTGGCAAGATCTTCTTTGGAAGCGGAACGTACTGTATCGCGGAAGGACACCCTTGTAGCCCTGGCTAGGGTGGGGCAAATGCATTACATGTAACCAAAATGTTTGTACCCGCATAATATCCTGAATAAATAAAAAAAATTAAAAAAAAGAAGTTGGAGACTCTGCTGTGAATAGTTGAGAATTTGACTCTGCACTGTTTTGTATTTAGCTTTAATGACTTCACAGGTGTTAGTCTTTTCTTCCTTACAATAGTTTAAGTTCCTTGGAGGCTGGGATTATGTCACATAGTTCTTTGGTATTTCCCATACACCAGCTGACAAACTGTGGGTGCTCAGTACATACTTAACGATTGACTGATAAACCGGTTTGTATTTTTGGGCTACACAATCTCTCCAAGTCAGTTCCTGGAATGAGAGGGCTGGGCAGAGTCAGAGACTAGGGCTATGCCAAGTCAGTCACTTGGACATCGTTTAGACCATAATCTGGGAACCTAATCTGTATAAAGCACCTAGCACAATCCCTGGCTCTGAGGAGGTCCTCAGTAAATGGTCTCTATAGCTGTTATTATGATTCTTGTTTAATGAGAGGGTTAGTGTTGAGGGTTCAATAACACCTAAAGCCATTCTAGGTGGAATCAGAAATCCACAGTCTAGGGCTGGGCGTGGTGGTTCACGTCTGTAATCCTAGCACTCTGGGAGGCCGAGGCGGGCGGATCATTTGAACTCAGGAGTTCGAGACCACCTGAGCAAGAGCAAGACCCCGTCTTTACTAAAAAAGTAGAAAGAAGTTAGCTGGACAGCTAAAAATATATAGAAAAACTTAGCCGGGCATCGTGGTGCATGCTTGTAGCCCTAGCTACTCAGGAGGCTGAGGCAGTAGGATTGCTTGAGCCCAGGAATTTGAGGTTGCTGTGAGCTAGGCTGATGACACAGCACTCTAGCCCGGGCAACAGAGTGAGACTCTGTCTCAAAAAAAGAAAGAAAGAAAGAAAGAAAGAAATCCACAGTCTAGAGATGAAGCCAAATTTGGAACCAGCAGAAGCCAGGCATCAGAGGCAGAAACAGAGGCTCAGTTTTGAGCAGTTCAGTTGCATTGTGATGAACACTTTCCCTGCCACCCTAGGCCATTTTTATCAGGCTTTCTGTATGTTTGGCTCTCCTGCACTTGTATCTTTAAGGTGCTGCTCAGTTTCTGAGAGGAGCCATCAATCCCAGCACAATGCTATGAACATAGGAGAAGCTCAATGAAAGCAATTCTATTTCTCTCTTACTTGTTGCAACAGATAATGTGGCAGCAATGTTGAGGATTCACTTGAGAAGACTGTGCTAAAGATCAGCCATTCGACTAGAACAAGATTACTACCCAAGCTTTTCCCAGTCAGCGTGGGGGACTCTGGCAAACCAAGCTGCCAGTCAGATAAGGATTACAGTCATTGATGAACTTAGATGCTATGAAGACACGGTGGCACATGGATGACATGGGCTCTACAAAGTGAAGAATGGATCTCATTCTTCCTGCCTCGCAACTCCCATCAGCAGTGTTGCTAAAGGAGGAAGGTGGCAGAGGGCAGTTATGGAGATGCCATCATAACACAACAGATTGATTGTGTTTCTCCTCCATGCCAGACCTTTAGCGTACATTATCTCTAATCCCCTCCATAACTCAATGAAGTGGGCTTTATTTTCTTTTTCTTTGTTTTTTTTTTGTTTTTTTATTTTTTTCTTCCCCTCCCCCCCTGAAGTAGGCTTTAGCTTTATTTTACAGATGAAGAAATGGGCTCAGAAAGGATAAATTACTTGCCAGAGGTTACACAAGCTATTAAGTAGCAGAGCCAAGATTTGAACCTAGGTCTGCCTGGCTTATGTGCTTTGTACGCTACATACCATGTGCCTCTTCTATGTTGGTGATGGCAACCCAGGCCTCAGAGAAACAGATGTTGCTTAAGAATACTAGCTGGTTATGTGTGGGTAGGGTATTCCATGGTTCTTTCTTTTGCTCATCAATTCATTCTACACACACACACACACACACATACACACACACATAGTCAGAAAGTAGTAAGAGGTGTGTAAGTCAGGTAGGTGGGGTGAAAAGGGACATGTATGTGGGGAGGTGGGCAAGGGGACATGGGAGGGTTGAGGATAGAGAAAATACAGAAAAAAAAGAGCTATCATAAGCTTGAATGCGGGATGGGGACTGACTTTTTTGTGTCTGTTTCTGGATGTAGTACTGAATGGCTCTCTGGGTGGCTGCAAAAGGGAGTCTCTGCAACGACACTAACAGGCAAGTTCCAATCCAGTAGTGGCACTCAGGATCTGAGGCCATCCAAACAGTACTTTACACCTACACACACACACACACACACACACACACACACACACACATGGGAAGCACAAATATGGAGACAGGTATTTTTAAACAAGCATGCTAGAATATATGGTATAGCAGAATGAGCCGTATTATAAAATGGAATGCTATACCTTGATTCTTGTGGTGTTTCCAGTGCTTATCACGTGACTGTAACTCCCCTTCAAAAGAGCCAATGCTGATTTGGAAGCATAAAGTGGAAGGTTTGTTGAAAATAAAAGAGGAGAAAAAGAAAAAAATTCACTTCATAGTCACAATTTAGTGTGTGTGTGTGTATTAAGACTTTAAGAATTGTATAAAATGATGTAATTACATACAAGAAAGTGCTATGGAATGTTTGTCCATATAAATTTTTAAAATTTTTCTTTTAGTGGTGAGCATGATTGTAATAAAACAACCCTGGCTTACATAGCCACTTAATCCCAGAGGGAATGTGACCCAGAGCAGGGAGGGGCAGAGTTCAGGAATGTGTTGCTGTGACACATCGATTCCAGGACTCTCCAGGCTTCACCTGCACCTGAGCTATGGACAAAGTATGTTTGGGTGCTGTGGAGGCTTATTTTTGACTGCTCCACAGTCAGGAGGATGGCAGCTGGGGTGATCATACTATTCCCAAGGGCATCTGATGTACACAGACTTGGAAATCCAGAGAGATCATAGGGCTTAGAGAAGTTCCTCTCCCTTCTATACCAAGTGTGTGCAATACCAGCACCCTGCAGAATTCAAAGGGGAGACCTGGAGGCAATGATACTGATCATATGCTTCATAAGGAATAAACCGATGATTATAATCAGCCTATGTGCTAAGGAAAAATAGAAGCTTTATAAAGACATACTTTCCTCTACAAATTAATTATAACACATCTCTCTCATAAGAGAATTACCCAGTGATTTTTTAATCCTTCTAAATTTTTGAATGAAGGGTGCCATGAAAGTAGCAAATGTAATTATCATTATGTAGTTTTTTGTTTCATATCGTGTGAGACCCAAATACTGTTAAGGAGAAATAGTTTTTAACCATGTATATGGTCCTTCAACTAACAAAAAAACTGCCTCAGGAAGAGGTTTGGCAGTCTCTTCTGTACTAATTCCAAATACCCTCACCCTAGAGAAACTTTTGTCAAGCTTAGGAAAACCTAGGTTGGTAATATAGGCACTCTCTTCCAACAACGTGCCAGGTAAGGACAGGCCACCTTCAGTGTTATGTTTTCTTTTACATTGGAAGGCAAGAGCCATACTAGTGGAAACACACCCAGTACCTTTTAAAGTCACCCTAAAATATAATACTGTGGTTCTCAACTTTTCCTCACTCCAATCTCAAACTTCTAAACGATGTGACTCACTCAAGTTGGATCAGTAGCAGTGGCTTAGGGTGACAGTGAGCGCAGAGGGAGGTGGCAGAAGGAAAGAATCAATGTGGTTGGTGAGTGAGAATTCTGCTTTGGATTCCCTCCCCTTAATTATCTTAAGGTCTTCAAATCTAATAGAAATTTACAACCTTTTTGGTAATCTTTACTTCATTGCCTACGTGGAAGAATTTATGTCCTCTCAGTGGAGTTTCTCTAACTCCTTTAATGCCAATTACTTGTTTACGGTGCTGCAAAATGATTCTAAGTTCTTGGGGACAGTTATTCCTGTTAACATCCTTTTTATGTTTGTTTGTTTGTTTTGATCTGAATGTCTTACAGATGCAGGCCAGGGTTACTGGGATGTAGGTGGGGGCCTGGCTACTGAATGGGACTTGGGAGGCAGAGGACTTGTCTTTATGTCGATAAAGAGTAAAATTTCGAGTTTCGGCTGATTTTAATGCAAGCAGAGCTGGCGAGGCCCAGGGCAGACCTAGTTTGGGATGAGCACCCGGATCTGTGAGCTAGTGTTGCTTCAGCATCTCACCATGTATGTGTATAAGGGGAGGCTGGTCCCCGCCCTTCCCTGTCCCATCGGTACTATCCTTCACCTCTGTCTCTGCGTAACTATATTAAAAGGAGGCCACACTTCACATACTGGCGCCCAGACCCCAAAGAGAGGATGGCAGTGGCTTGGCAGGTGGGCGAGTAGCAGGGAGATGGGTGGGGAGTGGGCGGAGTCATCGTTGAGTGGCGTTCGTGCTAGCCAATGGCAGTTCGGGGCAGGGGCGACGGGGGCGGAGGCGCCGAGGCCTATCAGCCAATGGAGGGCGAGAAACTACTGGAGCGACATAGTGACGTGAGGAGCGTTCCATTCGGCCAGCGGTGGGCGGTTGCCACAGCTGGTTTAGGGCCCCGACTGTTGGGGCCCCTTGTCAGGAGGAGACAGCCTCCCGGCTGGGGAGCAGAAGTCGCTGCCACCTTTGGCGGCTGACGGAGGTCCCCTGGGACGGTCCACTTCCTGCCCTCAGTTGCCGGCCGAGTTCGGTCTCCCTCGTTCAGGTAACAAGGGGTGGGGGTGGGGGTCTCCTGGGCTCTGCTGTATGGTGGGCTGCCTCCCCATCAGCCGCGCCGGGACACAGGGACGTTGGCACCGACCTTCTCAACTAGGCAGCCGCCGAGCCCCTGGCCCGGGGTGCCTACACGTGGCGGGGCGTGTGTGAGTGTGTACGAGCGTGTGGATGCGTGTGCGTGTGGATGTGGCGCGCGTCCCAACCTGCCTGGGGCGGTGGTCCATTGCGTGGCGGAGGCAGGGCGGGCCTCCTGCGGCCGCACCCGCAGCCCGGCCCGGGACTCGGGCCTCAGGCCCCCGGCTGGTGGACCGGTCGCTGCTTCCCAACGGATTTTGATCTTTGTTCTCCCAGGCCAGGTTCCCCTTCCTGGTCTCTCCTCTCCCGCTGGGCCGGTTTATCAGGAGGAGATTGTTTTCCAGGTTAGTTTTACACAAAGGAAGTGTTCTCTGCACCTCTGGGTCCCCCTTCCCTTCCCAAAGCCTTATTCCTTCTCATTTCCCTGCTCGGCTCCTAGTCTCTTTTTGGACCCTTGCCCTCTCCAGCTCGGGAATGATCTCCAGTCGGTTGTTTCTCCCTCCGTCATTCAGGCTGCTGGCTTCCGCCTAGGTCTTGCCAGCGTGGGGCATGTGGTGTCAGTAAATAGAGGCCATGGCACCACACCTGAGAGGAGGAGAAGGGTGGCAGTGGCTGAGAAAGCCTAGGCCTGGGAATTCAGGATGCTAAGTAGAGATGGTACTTATGAAATGTCCCAGAAAGCGCCCTTATGACTTTTCTTAGCTGCTGCCATCCCCCCATCCCCCCACCAACCACCCATTCATCAGTCACTAATCCTTCCAGAATCTCTCCTGCTTAGGTCAGCCTTTCACCTACAGGTCTATGATGTGGTTTCATTAAGATTCCCACAAATGTTAGGCTAGACCAGCGACATCGTTTCATTTCCCAGACTCAGGAAGTTACAGAGGGTTTGATTAGGGGAAATCTGTTTTGTGTAAATACAATGTATGTATGCGTACAGAGTGTCCAGAACCTCCTAGCCTGCCAGAGGTGACTTGTTCCCTGCTATGATTCATATTTGAGTGGCTAATTGAAGAAAGAAGGTGAAGAAGTGGAGGCAAGGAGGGAGACTCCATAAAGACAGAAACCCTACTGTTATTTTTAGAGTCCTCTTAATGATGATTAAAGAACATTGTGGCGTAGTGGAACTTGCCTTGGCCTGGAAGTCAGCAGATGTGTTTTTTGCTGCTGTGTGGCCTTGGATAAGTTATTTCCTCTCTCTGGTCCTCAGTTCACTCATGTACAAAAGAAAGTAGTTGGGACAGTCGCCTATAAAGTCCTGTCTGGTTCCAAGGTTCTAGAACTATGAGATCATCGATATTAGATTGGAAGCACAGATTTATTTAAGAAGAAATACTACCCCTCTTCTTTTTTTAAAAGAAACTTTAATCATTTCTCCTTTTAGAAGACAAACACAGATTCCACTTCTCCATCCCCACCCCATCAGACAGTGTTCATCTTTCTGCCTCTGACAAAGGAGGGTTGAACTGCATTTTCTTATTCCTGCCTCATTTTTTTCTTCTGTGCTTTCTTTTAGGACCAGGAATTGGACTTTTGATGATGTTTGACCCAGTGGCTGCAATAGCAGGCAACGTGATTTCAAAGCTGGGCTCAGCCTCTGTTTCTTCTCTCGTGTAATCACAAAGCCCATTTTGGACCAGGAATTCCAACCATGTCTGTGATGGTGGTGAGAAAGAAGGTGACACGGAAATGGGAGAAACTGCCGGGGAGGAATACCTTTTGCTGTGATGGCCGTGTCATGATGGCCCGACAAAAGGGCATCTTCTACTTGACCCTTTTCCTCATCCTGGGGACATGTACACTCTTCTTCGCCTTTGAGTAAGTTTCCATTGAGTAGAGTTGCCTGTTATAGTTACTTTGGGTACAGGGGAAGAACTTTCTTTCTGGGAAGTTTGTGGCCATTCCTTTGGTGACTTTTACTATCTTCTTGAGCAATATCTATAGATCATGTCAACTGAATTCATTGCTTTGTGGTTATATCAGAGTATGTGCTTCCTAAAAAGACTGAGACCTTTGGTACTAATTGTATAGCACTGATTTGGTACTACCCCTGACAAACTTGAGAAATAAGACAGTTTGTCTTAATGACTCACCTCCCCCTATTAGTGGTCTCCTTAAGAGCTTAGTGACAAACTGTCTTCTCCCCACTCCTCCAAGCCTTTTCTGTTATTCTGGATCCTGTTTGCTTAGGGCACAGCTTTTGGCTAGCTGAAAAGCCAGCTTTATTGGGAACCTGCTGATTGGTTTCAGCCTCAGCTGTACCACAAACTAGCTGTGTATGTGGCACATATGTGCATACTAAAAGTGACTTGCTCTTTCTTTCCATCAAAATCGCTCAACATAAACAACTCTCTATTCTGTGTGTATGCCTGATACCAGCCTTGGAGTTATTTTTTTCTGTGATGTAATACCTAGTACTAGAGCCACTGTTTGAAGTCTGTGTAGGTCACTGCTCTAGGGAGGTGGCCAGTTGGATTCTAGGGCACTGTGGCGTGACAACTGGGTGTGCTGAGAATGGTCTACACTCTAGGGATGGGAGCAGTGCTAATTGTTTTGGGATTACTATGAGGAGGGCCTTGAGGAGCCAAGAGGTGTGTGTGTCAATTTTGAGCCACACCTGATGTGAGCCTGCCATAGTGTCTGTACTTGGGTGACCTGGAAATCCCTCCCATGCAGGGGCGTGGCCATGACAGGTAGGAGGGGGCTCCTTGGCCAGCCTTTCTGGGTAATTAAAATGAGCTCTGATCCCTTAGGGCTCATTTTTGTCCTTTGGTAAGGGCTTCAGGCTTTCCCAGTGCATCCAGAGTGATTTTTAGGCTGCTTTGCCAGACTTTTTGATGGTTGCAGCTGGCTTAAGTAACAGCAGGGGAGGAGGGGGACCCAGTTTATAACAGGGCTGGGAAAGTAAGGTCAGAGGAGCTCTTTGTTAAAGGCCCTCTTGCTGCTGCTGCTGCTGCTGCTGCTGCGGACTTTGTGAAGTATTTGGCGAAGTCTGGCAGGTTACAGAAGGCTTCTTAGTTGCCTTCCAGTTTGATTTTCATGTCTGAGTATGCATGTGCGTGTGCGTGTGCATGTGCTTGTGTGTGGTATGAGTGAGCATGTACAGTCAGGTAGGCATAAGCAGAACATTAGACTATTTTTTCCTTCTCCTCACCCTTCTCTTCAAGTTTGCTTTGCTTTGTTCCTGCCTTGCTTCTTTCTGGAAGTGTAGAGCTGAACTCTGCTCTCTATCACTCTTCCTCTCTTTCACCCTTTTTGTCCCCCCTCCACCTCTGTGGTTAAATTTTTATGATTGGAGCCATTCAAAACACAGATGAGCCTTGTTTCTAGGCTCTGAGTGAGTTGGTAGTTCTGGGCCCAGGAAACCTCTGGTTTGACTGGCCAGGGGCACCAGAAATTTGGAGCTATTGCTGTTTGGCCCTTTTTGTGCCTAGGAGCTAGCGAGAGAATCTTATTTGGATCTGTTATATTTAGGCCCCTGAAGGCCCCTGAAGAAAACTGCCGATGGGATGAAGCTTATAATTAGCCAAGTTACTGTTTGACAGAGACAGGCTGAGTTTCCTACCAAGATGACTTTTCTCCCAAAGTTATTTCTTAGCTTTGCCCTCAGCTATGAAGGGCAGGGTCGTTTGTAAAACTGCCCTCAGTTCCAGCTGTCTGTGTGAAAGAGTAAATATTTTTGAAGGTAAGGCTGGAGGAGGGAGTAGTGGGAGGAGATGGGGAGAAGGAAGTAAATGTGTTATCTGAGGAGTGGGGTGGGGAAGTGTAAATCTGACCAAGGAGGAGAGGACCCTGATGATGGATCCTTTTTATTGAGAATGGTGGAATCTGTGTGTGTATATGTGTGTGCGTGTGTGTGTGTGTGTGTTTGTGTGTGTGTGTCCGTCTGTCTGCGTGTCTGTGTCTGTCTGTCATATACAGACACTCCAGGTAGTGGCTGTGTTGTGGCTAGCCAGTGACAGGCTGTGCAAGGTATACTAGCATGCTTCTGAGGAATGACGTCTCTTTCTGGTTGATCTTTTTCTTTGGAGTCTATAACTTACTACCAGCCACATAGTGGGGTATAGGGCTTGGGGGTCAGAATATGGGCTTCCTTGTTAGTATTATAACTTAGTGAGACCTCAGGAAATCAGCTGATCTAGCTCCCTGCTTTCAGGCAGGCGAGGGTGTCTGAATAGATAAACAGGTGTCTGTTTTCATTCTTAAATTGTCCAGGAGCATAGCATCTACATCCTCTGTCTGATACACTTTTGCCTGGCGGGAAGCTAGTCCAAATCTCGAGGCACATCTGGATCTACATTTTAGTAACAGGGTCCTGCTTGCAGCAGATGCTTAGGAACAAGTGTGAGTTGATCTATAGCTGCCCATGGCACAGCTCTGGGCCAGCCAGATGGCTTAAGAAATCTGGTCAGGCTTGTGGGTGCCCTTAAATGAAGAACATGCAGTGTTAGTAGTGCTGGTGGATATCCTTTCATTTTTGGATTTTGCCTTTATAGATCTTCTGGAAGACTTTTTAAAGGAGAAACCTGTAATTTTCAGTGGACAGACAGTAGGTTGAATATATAAAACAAAAAAGGTTGTCCACTTAGGAGCCAGTTAGCTTGGTATTGTTCCAAGTGTTTCAGAAGAAGCTGGATGGCTATCTCTGAGGGCTGCTGTCAGAGGGTGGAAATGGGGCCAGATATTCACTAAAGCCTCTTGCAACTCCAGGAGTCTGAAATTCTGTCTAACTCCATGTCTGATTGGAATATTCAAATGCACACAAAAGGAGAGTAGAGATTACCAGTAGGTAGCTATATTTAAGTATAATTGTATTCATTGTAAATATATTTGAATTTAAAAGCAGAGTGAAAATCATACAATGCTTAAAGAAAAAGGATTTCCTAATTAATTCTTAGTGCGAGGTATTTAGGAAATGTGAGTGTGTATGTTAGTTTCAGCTTTCAGCACATGAACCATTTTCAGTCCTTTTTGCTGAAGCCCTGTCCAGCTTGTATGATGAACACATAGCTACTAGCTTGGCTCGGAATGTCAGGACACTATAGCAGAATGACACTGACAACCTGTGAGCTGTCCAGCTACTGAAAGGCTATTGTGCTATTCAGTCAAACTCAACTTTCTGATAAAGTGTAGTCCTAGGGAAAGGACCAAGTGTACTGTCTTCTGGAATTGGCTTCCTGGCTTTCTCTTTTAACTTTCTTAGCAGACCATTAGTGGGATCAAGGTCCTTAGATTTCTCTTGTGGCAAGAATGACTTTATGACTCTTGACCCCGGAATAGAAGTAGCTTGCTGCTGTGATCAGTGCTTATGCTCTCTCTGTGCCGTATATGGAGGAAATTGTATCAAAGCACTGTCAGACCAATTTCTGTTGGACTGGTCCCCATGGGAGCATTTCACGTATATATTGGCAAAAGAGTCATTGAATTGGATGAACTGAAAGAAAGCTTTGTAATACTGCTTAGTAATCAATCATCCCAATTCTCCTAGCCTATCCGAATTCTACCCCTCTTTCAAGTTCTTTTTCGAGTGTTCCTTCGTGAAAACTTTGTAGTAATTTCTGCATTCATTGGGCCAATTGTACATACCACTCATTTAACAAATAATCATATGACATTTCTTATTTTTTGGAATTCTATGGTGATAATACTTTTCACTTGTTGTCCTCCACAGCTAGATGTGACCTCTTTCAAGGTCAAGGACTATCTCCTATGGCTGTGTAGCCCCTGCAGTGCCCTCTACCAGGCCTCACATAGAGTAGGTGGCAAATAAACGTTGCTGAATTAAAACATTCTGGATGTACCTAAAATTTAGCAATCTTGACTTACAGAATCATAGATGGTAGAGCTGGAAGAGGCTTTGGAGACTATCTCCATCCTTTTGTGGGAGAGGAATCCAGGCCCACAGAAGTAAGGTTATTTCATCAATATTGGTTGGCCAGCCAGTGTCTCTATATGATACTACCTTTTATCTCGTTGTTACCTTTTGGCTATGGAATCCTGAAGACATTCAAATGCACATGCTTTAGTAGAGCTGTGCATAGGTGCCAAATGCTAGACCAGCATATTCCAGGTTCTTGTGAGCTAGTGTATGTGTTACCCAGTGTCATCTAGGTTATTTGGGTCTCCCAAGCTCATGTTCCTAGTAAATGAAGGTGTCTTTGTGGAGAACTGACAGCATTCCAGCACGGCATTCTGGTAGCCTTGCAGGAACACGGAAGCCCTTCTCTGAATGTGAATTTAGAATGTAAGGAGCTTTATCAGTTGACAAGAAATCATCACTGCTTTGGCACCTCCTAGTCCCTGCTGCTAGGGTGAAAATGGCTCAGAGAAAAATTGAGCAATGTGTGCTCCCTACCTTGTTAGTCTGTGGGTTATTCTGATGAAAGGGGCATCATGTCCTTGCAGACTGTGGAGTAGAAAAAGTAGATCTGACAATATGAAGTCACCAGGTTTGAGGAGACATAGGACGACTACGTGGACCAAAGCCAAACTTTGACATGGCAGAATGTTAGCCCCTATAGTGACAAGGTCCAGTTTCCTGTAGAGTATCTTAGGTGAGATTGGAAGGAGGAAAAAGTGTCTTTATTGTGATCTCTAACCAAGAGAGCATTCTCTCAGAATTACCCTATGGAGGTCAATCTTGTGCTTCATCTAGCCTAGGATTCTATCTGGGACTTGGCCAACCAAATGACAGCTTTAGAAAGGCATAGTTGCCTCTTTGATATCAATTTGTTATAGTTCTTAGCTAAACTTAACTTCAGACAAAGCATGTTCTCTGAGGAAGGGTTGGGTTATGTCTCCCAAACAGTTTGCTTTCC